ATATATTTATATAAAATATGTTATGTTATTATATAATATATGGTTATATAATACATATATAAAAAATGTTCAAAGTTTAAACTTGAGGACTTTATATCGAACTGTTGCATGAAATTCCAAAATACCAGATTTGAGTGAGTTCTTCAAATTTCCTAAGGTTCTAGAAAACTCTTCTTCATATAACTAAAAATGAAATCCTACGTGCTTAAACTCTTCAGAGAACTGGCATTACACACTCTCCTCAGCCCTTACATTTACTTGGAAAATTCACCATTGAGGGAGTGCTTAGGGCTAAGTCGCAGCTGCAAGGAAGGCAAGTCAGGACTCATATCGCTACAGATCATTTAGATCTTTCTTCTCTGCCCCGGGGTGCAGGGAAAGGCTGTGAAGCGGCAGCTGAGGAAACACAGAACCTACATCCTGGCGTGTGCTGCAGTCCTTCCTCAGAACCTGCACAGGCTGAACACTACTATCCGTGCTTAAAGGGAATTCTGTGGGACCTTAATTCAGTTTTCACATACGCTAGGTCCAAAACCTGGGAGTCTCTAGGCTGGTGAGCCTAACTGTCTTCTGCAAAACTGTGGTCCTGCATGTTTCTACTTTTCTGGATAAATGGTGAATTGTGTCTCTGTTTGATTGCATGACAGAAGACTCAGACGCATCCACATGAAGAAAAATGGCAAGAAAAAGGCTCCCGCATGCTGGAGGCACTTTTAGTGAGAAAAATAAATGAATACGCAAGAGAAGAAATGACATTTGGAAGAAAAACATTTTTAAAAAGATTTCATGAGCAATGCTTAATAATTACAACTCCTTCACAAACACACAAATGGGCTCTACTAACTAAAATCCTGTGTAATTATTGAATAAGGCCCTTGAAAAGAATGGTGAGAGCTTAGAGTCAATTAACACATGTTACAGGGTCAGAATTAAATATCAAATACTAGTTTTATCCACACGGATCACAAGCAATGTCAAACTAATGACATAAAAAGATCCTTTTTCTGATTACTGACAATTCTCACTTTTATGTGCAGGCATTGTCTTTGTAAACTTTTAAACTTGGGGTGATTTTCCCCGCCATCAAGTTTGTCTATGAATGATATCTTTTTTGGGGGTCCCAAAACTTCTAATAACTACTCTATTTTTCCTAATGTTTGATCATCACTGCAGTAAGTAGGAGTACATATATGGAGAGGGTAAGCCACTGACCCCATCCATGCCCTCCTCCCTGCTGGGGCCTTGGGAGCAGACAGGTTTTAGCAGAGCCTGATTTTTCATGATGGCTAGATACAAAACAAGTCATGACTGACTGATACCTCTTGGTTCCATGGGCTACAAGTCATCTGAAGTATCAGAATGATAGGTGAAACACAACCCAGTAAGGAAGTGAATCTGCTGGTCATAAACAAGGATTATAAAATGTTTCTAGTCATTAAATAAATGTTTTGGGTCTATGCATAACTCTAGTTCCTACACAGTAAAACATTGGAAGTTTGCATTTTACAAAATGCATATAATGAACTCTTACTTCATCTTCGATTGATACCTCCTTTTTTTTCCCTTAAAGTCAAATAATTAAGGAGAATTTTCATCCGTGACCTCTGTGCTCCTCTCAATACAGCCCTTTGCTCTCTTAGCTGCTTAACAAGCATTTTTCCAATATCGGAATCATAGGCTAAACATGAGGCAGAGAGGAAGACCATTGTCAGCATTCACTAGAAGAATGCTTGCGACGTCTCCGTGATGGAACGCAGTGAAGGATTTGTGATAACCCATTGTGGTTTGAAAAAACATGGGCAGGAAAAGTAATATCCCATCTGTTATTCGCAAACAATTTATATTTATTGATCAGGAGAAAACAACAGTAAGCTGCTAAAAGAAGAGATTGTCATGATGTTGTCTCCTTAAATATGATTGTAGTTACTAGTCAATTGCAGATTCTGTGTTTTTAGCCAAAGTTCTTTATTTCCAAAATGGAGGGAAAACTCTGCCCATCATCTCTTGCTATGCTCTCACAAGACTTCTGTACTGTGGTCAGCATAATGGAAAGATCCTCTGAATTAGCCAGATTCTGTAAATGTTCTAAAAACATATAACCAGCCTAGACACAAATACACTCTGTCAACTCTAAAATATCAACTATAAAATATTTAAATCTCCACAGCTACTCTGAATATCTCACAAGACTATCAAGATCACTTTACATTAACCAGTCATGAGTCACTACCCATTGTTTCAGAATGTGTCACAGAATCTTCCTCATGTTTTCCTCTTTTCCTCTCAAGCTGATACTAATGGAAAATTCAAGGCTGAAACTCAAGATTACTGGCTTCTCGCAAGGTGGCCAACCTAAGGTAGGGTTGAAGGCTGCCTTCCTGTTAACAACAGGTCTGTGTCTCTCTCAGTGGCTCACCTGTAGATGGTGTTGTCTTCTTTGCTGGGAATGGACTTGAGGTCCGTGAGTTCAAGGAACCGGTCATGGAAATAGTGCAGGTGTAAAATGCACACCAGCAGAAAGGAGGTTGGGATGAATATGCGAGTGAATAGTTCAGCCACAGTAAACTGCTTTAAGCCAAGATCCTCAAGCCTGCAAAACAAAACAAAATAAAAAGCAGGAGCCTCTCTTAGGCAATGAAGTCACAGACTCTTTGTGATAAACTACATCACAGTCTTATACTCCTGTCAGTTCTATCGTTTATTGCATCACTCTCTCTGATATGATCCAATATGGCTTTCGTTTCCACCAAGCCAGCTAACCTCCTTCAACAATGGTCAGTAAAAACCTTGACATTGCCAAATTCAAGGGCTACTTCTCTAGCTTTATTTAATTAACCCTCTGGTCTTCCTTGAGGCAAGCGTGGTTTTGACGCCATCACACTCTCTTGGTTTCTTATTCCTCCACGATCTCCTCCTTTTCTATTGGACCTCTAGAGGCTGAAATATCCCCAGGACTCGGTTTTGATCTCTCTTCCAGTTGTGCCTGCCCGCTAGGGAAATCCTCTTCTGTGGATTTATACATCATCCTTACACTGAGGACTCAAGGCACATCTACAGTGCAGGCCCCTCCTGTAAGATTCCTGTGCCCAAATTGCTACTGGAAATCGGTTGTTTTGCACTTATTTCATATTTAGTGTTTCCAAAACAGTATTCTTGATTTTCCTATTTTTCTTAGCAAAGCTGTCCTCCACATCCCTCTCCCCACTCTAGTATCCCTGAAGCAATAAATGGTACAACTGTGTACCCTGTGCAAATTGAGAAGTCAGACGTCTCCTATGTTCTTTTCTTTCATATCTCATTCATCCACATTTCCTTCAGCCTCCTAAGCACCTCTTGAATGGCCCACTCCTGTTATCCGTCTCTGCCTCCACTGCGTGTAGGGGAAGCTGCCATCATTTCTCACATTTCTCACTGCTGCTGCCTACTAACTGCTCTCCTTGTTTCTCCTCCCACACATCGCTTTTTCTCAGCTACTCAAGGGATCTATAAAGACTGGAAAATTCCACCAAGAATAGAATACAAATAATGCTGCCTACAAGCCATGCACATCCCAACTGCCTGCCTGAATTCTCCCCACTCTTCGCTGTCCACTCACCCCCGGTCTTCAGTTCTTCTTATGTGCTATGCCAAACTCTGACTTGCCTCAGGACCTTCGCATGTGCTGTTCCCTCTGCCTGAAATGCCCTTCCACACCCCAGGCTCAAACTCACACACTTTTCCTAAGACAAGCTTCTTATGCTTCAGTTGCAGTTTAAACCAGCTCCTCAGCGAAGCCCGTGCCAATCACTCATTTATAGTTCCCCCTTACTCACTGCCTCAGCCTGTTGTCTGTTTCCTTCACGGACCTGTCACAAAGTGTAACAGACTTATTTTACACTAAATAGTTTTCTTGTTTGTCTCCTCTGCTAGAATATAAGATCTACAGGGCTTAGATTTTATCTGTCTTGTTCCCTGTCATATTCCAGGCACAAAACAGTGTCAGCCCATGGACAGCATTTCATAAACGCTTATTGTATAGACACTTCAGCTGTGTTGGTCTAGTTCCCTTCTAAGGGACAGAGACTTCTAAGGGACTTTTTTCTCAGCCACATCTATATATTCAGCTCAAAACCCAATGCTGGCTGGATTTCCAAACTAATTTCAGAAGTTTACAGAAGCAAATTAGAGAAGAATAGAGCACTATTTACTACATGCATGGGAAAAACCATCTCATTATCACAAGTCTGTTAGCACTTAGAGAAATTTATTTCTTTATGGCACTAAATACTCCTTGGAATCTAAGCACCCAGCAACATACATGAGCAAAGGCTGCTACTTTATAAGTGTATGAACTTACTTATGAACTGAAGAGCTGAGCTCCAATGTGGAGAGCAGAAAGCATGACTAAGTGCTAGGTGTGTTTCACACGAAACTAACATTAGAAAATGTCATTTCATTAAAATGGGGCTGAAAATTCATGGAGTGCCTACTATGTTCTAAGCTAAGGGCTAAGTAAAGGGAACACAAAAATCTCTAAGTTTTAATTTCTATTCTTGACGAACTTATAGACAGTGATGACATCATGCTTTGCTAAAATCTTCCTTAAAGATGTTTTTGAACGATATGCATTCAAGTCTTCATCTTGTTCATCATTTTTCAACTCAAAATTACTTACTTTTCTTTTTTCAATCCAGTCATATTTTGCCACAGGCCTGGGAAGTTTTCAAACTGATATGTGTATATAAAGATAAGCACCAGCATAGTGTAAATAACCACTGACATCCAAAAATATTTTAGAATTTTCCTCCACCATTCATAGTGCACCTGCAAATCAGATAGTGGAAAAAAACAAACGAGAAAAAAATCATTTTAGAAAAACTCACAAAAATATTTGGTTTATTCAAGTAAGACAAGTGATTACATTCACAAATGTCTGAAAATAAAGTCTATTTCATTTCTAGTTTTTAATGTTCTATGCCTAACATAGTGGAGTGGTCCTGGGTTAGAACCCCAGTTCTATAAGTGGTTGCTAACTCTGTCTTTGGGGAAGTGGCTGAACCTTCCAGAGCGTCTCCATAAGTGCCTATTTTGCAGGGTTGCTACGAGGATGAAATAGGTATTTACGGGTTCCTGCAAGCTATCTGGCCTATAGGGGGCGCTCAAGGAACAGTAGGGTAGGTGCTGCTGTCATTGTGGTTATTATCACTGCTCAGAGAAAACCACATCCATTTGGAAATTGAAAGCAATATTGTATGAATGAAAATGTGAAACAACCACAGAAAAAAAGACATTTCTTTTTACCATAAGCTGTGGATATTCATTAAAGAACATCCATCCTGAATTTTTAAGAGTATTCAAAAGTTCACTGATTTCTTTTGAGATTTTTTTATCTTCACATATGATATACTCTCGTTTATTGTAGTTCTTTTATTTGTTTTGTTGGCTACCTGCAAGATATTTTACTGTTCCATGTGTTTCTATTATTAGATCCTCTTTTATCATCAGTTAAAAGTGAGTCTGTGGAAAGCTAACTCATTTCAATGCATTTCATATATTAAATTATTTTAATGAATGAAATCCTTTTAATTAATGAAATACGAAAGCAGTCAGTGCACTACACATATATATGTACACAAAGAGCAGGCACATGCCACACATACATCGTTTTCTGACCCTAAAGCCTGAAATGCAAAAGTATACCTAGGAGTACTCCACGACTTCAGATTATCTAGCTTTTAAATTACTATTTTAAAATGTAATTCAGTTTTTACAGGCCAGGTGCAGTGGTTCATGCCTGTAATCCCGGAACTCTGGGAGGCCGAGGAGGGCAGATCACTTGAGGCCAGGAGTTTGAAACCAGCCTGGCCAACATGGTGAAACCCTGTCTCTACTAAAAATACAAACATTAGCTGGAGGTGTTGGTGCACACTTGGAATCCCAGCTACTTGGGAGGCTGAGGCATGAGACTCGCTTGAACCTGGGAGGTGGTGATTCCAGTGAGCAATGAGCAGAGATCACACCATTGCACTCCAGCCTAAGGGACAGAGCAAGACTCTGTCTCAAATAAATAAATAAATAAAGTAAATAAATAAAAAGAAAGAAAGAAAGAAATAGAAATGTAATTCAATTTTACAGATTTTTTTGATGAATAATTTTTGGAAAACTTATGTATGAACTTTTTCCTGATTTTTCAACAACCTAAATTTTTTATTTTTACTTTTTTTAGGGATGGCATCTTAATCTGTTGCCCAGTTGTACTGCAGTGGTACAAGCATAGCTCACTGCAGCCCTGACCTCCTGGGATCAAGTGATCCTCCTGCCTCAGCCTACCAAGAAACTAGGACTACAGGTGTGCCACCACACCTGGCTAATTTTTTAATTTAAGAAAATTTTTTGTAGAGACAAGACTTCAGTATTTTGCCCAGGTTGGTTTGGAACTCCTGGCCTCAAGCAGCCCTCCTCCCTTGCCTCCCAAAGTGCTGAAATTATAGGCATGAGCCACTGCATCCAGCCCTGAAATTTTGAAATAGTAAAGAAGTTGAAGACAGTCATTTACCATTTTAGGATTCTTGGGATATAATGTTTGAATCTTGCCAATCACTTTATCTATGTTCATGACTCTAGTGATTTAGAATCTCTGCAAAGGTAGCTCATGTATATTCCTGGGACAGATGTGAGAATTAAAATGATCAACTGTGTACCTACCTGATACAGGGCCACACAGAACAGGAACAGCACCATGTAGATGATTTTGTACATTACGATTTTACCCTCGAAGCTGACGAAGAAGAACATGCCTCCGCAGACGTAGATCCAGTACTTGATGAACATGGCCACCACCAGATTGCCCAGGACTTTCATGATGTCCTGCTCATCTTCTTCTTCAACTTCTTCTTCCTCTACCTTCTTTCTCTCTTGCTTCTCTTCCTTCGCTTCCTCTTCTTCCTCCTTCTCTTTGGGCTCTCCTTCCACTTGTATATCTTGAAGTTCCTCATCTTCAAATAGAAAACTATACTGTTACACTTAGCTGGTTATCTGTGTAGAACCACACTTTGACCACGTGTGATATATGTAGGATGTAGAGGCATGCATTTTCCAAGTTATTGCATAATTTGAGTGATTTTAAACTATTCTCATAAACACAGCAACATTCCTAACTAGATTAAAAGTCAATTTTCATAACCTTCTCAAAATAGAGTTTACAAGAAAATAAATTTGGTAATACTAATTTATATACAAGGTCTTTTTTAATTTCTGATACCGAGTGATAGCTTTAAGTGCTGTGAGATGAAAAAAATAAATAGGCAACAATAGCACAAATCTAAATGACTATATCAATTTCAAATTCTAATTGTTTCATGGCTCTAGACAATCCAAGTAGTACTTTATCAAATGTGGTTAATGCTATCAATCTTAACCAAAAAAGCATGCTTTTAAATAACTCAAAATTTAAGAGATACAGCGAAACATAATTTAATTTAAATTAGATTGAAAGAGTAATTGTAATTTAAGTTTAAAACAATTTAATGGATCAAAATAAAAAACTCACATTGTGTTGCTTTAAAATATGCTAATACATGGGACTCATCTCTGTGTTACAAAGTCTTATATTTGAAGAACTTGAATAATTATTTCAAAAGAATTATTGGGGTTAATTTGAATAATTTATTCAAACAACTAGTAGATTCACAGAGTGAGGAGAGTGAAAATCAAGTGAGGGCTCAGAGCAATTGTTGATATCAAATTAACCATTTTTTACCAAAATTAACTGGTTAATTTAATCACTATGTTGAACAGAGACATCCAAATCATATAGGCAAGATTTGAATCTTACGAACAGACTTTTGTTACTGAAAAACAACTGATTGGTTAGGTCTAAATAAGAAACTAAACATAAATATGTGTGTGTGTGTGTGTGTATATATATAATATGCCTGCATTGGTTCTTATGGTTACTGGTTAAATCTTAAGGTTACCAGTCCAGCTTCTGTGGACATTTATAGGCTCCTTTTCACAGACAGTGCTTCTTAACCTCACAAATACTCTTCAATCCATTCTACAAACATTGAACTTACATTTATTGGCATATCTAGGGAGTTAGGGAGCAAGCTGTTCTTATTTTACCTATATAGCAGGTCTAAAACTATCAAGGTGAAAACATCATCATCATCTGTTTTTACATTGTGGTATACTATTTTTAAGAAAGAAGAAGGCAGTTTTAAATGTAAAAGATGTGAGTTAGTTTCTTCGTTCCAATACTCACTAAAAGTATGACCTGGGAGGAATCATTTAATTTCTCAGAGGCTCAGTTTTTCTTTCACTGGGAATCACCTTCATGAGGATCAAACGGCACATTTTTTTATTTTTTATTTTTTTTGAGACAGAGTCTCGCTCTGTCACCCAGGCTGGAGTGCAGTGGCCGGATCTCAGCTCACGGCAAGCTCTGCCTCCCGGGTTCACGCCATTCTCCTGCCTCAGCCTCCCGAGAAGCTGGGACTACAGGCGCCGCCACCTTGCCCGGCTAGTTTTTTGCATTTTTAGTAGAGATGAGGTTTCACCATATTAGCCAGGATGGTCTCGATCTCCTGACCTCGTGATCTGCCTACCTCAACTTCCCGAAGTGCTGGGATTACAGGCGTGAGCCACCGCGCTGGGCCCAAATGGCATATTTTTAACACTCCTTTGGAACTCTCACGTGCACCTCAAAAGTCACACGCTATAAAAACGTTACTTAGTGCTCCAAGTTTACATTCCACTTTCATTTATTCTGAAGCTTTCTGATGTATTTTGGGGCTCTTTCTCTGTAATTTTGCTGAGCACCAAACTCTCTGGCCACACGCCATGTACACTAATTTACCTTTTTCTTCATTTTCCTGACTGCCAATTTTGACTTCCGATAAAAGAGCTTCCTTTTCTCGCAGAGCTTTTTGCTCTGTGAGGTGCTGCCTCAGCAGTAGCCAAAACGTAATGGTGAAAAGGATCTGAAAGCAGAGAAGCAGCAAAACAAGAATTAAGCAACCATTTGGAATGTAAAAACATTCAACAAATACAACATTTTCTCCGCATTCCAGTGGGAGCACCATAAATAAACATTTTTATTGGAGACAGAGTCAGGTCACCTGCCTGATTTCAGCTGAGATTCACGGCTTTTAAGTCCCTTTTCCGAGGATGCTCCCATGCTTGTGTTGGGTGCCAGGAGCACCACGCAAGCCCTGAGGAAGATGAACCCAACCTGTCTAACGACTTCCACCTGGGCAGGAAATCAACTGCAACAAGTGGTCTCCCATGAGGTGCTGGTCCCTGGTTGGTTCCCTCCTGATTGTGACGTCATTACAATTGTAAAAGGAAGACATACTTCTTGCATAATACTCCCTTGACTGCAATGTTCCTTATTTTGAAGAATTCCATAGATGGGAAAAGGAAAATTTCATCCCAGAAAATAGAACCCCTTATTATTAATCTTCTAAAGCTGCAGGGAGTCTAATTCTAAGTGCTCATACTTTTAGAGTAACATTTTCTTAAGGACGAAGAAATCAAAAACTTTTTGATTTGGGGGAACTCTATTGTTTAGGAAATATAGTACCTAACACACAGTAGGTTTGTTGCTGTGGTTGTTGTTTTTTGAGAGGGAGTTTCGCTCCGGTTGTCCCGGCTGGAGTGTAATGGAATGATTTCAGCTCACTGCAACCTCTGCCTCCCGGATTCAAGCGATTACCCTGCCTCAGCCTCCCAAGTAGCTGGGATTACAGGCATACACCACCATGCCCGGCTAGTTTTTGTATTTTTTTAGTAGAGACGGGGTTTTCCCATGCTAGCCAGGCTGGTCTCGAACTCCTGACCTCAGCTGATCTGTTTACTTCGGCCTCCCAAAGTGCTGGGATTACAGGTGTGAACCACCATGCCTGGTCACACACAGTGGTTTTTAAAAATAGCTTTATTGAGATATAATTCACATACTACACAGTTCACCCATTTAGATTCAGTGGTTTTTAGTATATTCAGAGTTATGCAACCATCACTGCAATGCATTTTACAACACTTTCATCAACCCTGTGTAAGAAGCCCCACGGCAGGTATTTCCTTTTCTCCCTGTCTCAGCCCTAGCCAACCACAAATTCACTTTTTGTCTCTATAGTTTTGCCTAATCTGGAAATTTTTTATGAATGAAATTATATAATAGGTAGCCTTTCGTAAGGGATTGTTTTTACTTAGCATAATGTTTTCCAGGTTGATCCACTGGTAGCATGCACAGTTCTTTATCTCTTTTAATTACCTAGCAATATTCCATTGCATGGCCATACAACATTTTATCCTTTCATTAGTTAATAGGCATTTGGATCATTTCCATATTTTAGCTACAATGGATAATTCTGCTATGAACATTCATATACAAGTTTTTGTGTGGACAGATGGTTTCAATCCTCCTGGGTAAATGAACCTAGGACTGGAATTGCTGGTCTTACGGTAATTTTACGTTTAACATTTTGAGGAACTGGCACTTTGTTTTTCAAAGTTGCTGCACCATTTTACATTCCCACCAGCAGTGTGTGACCGTTTCAACTTCTCCATGTCCTCAGTAGCACTGGTTATTATCTACCTTTTTAAAAATTATAGCCATTCTGACTGGGCACGGTGGCTCACGCCTGTAATCCCAGCACTTTGGGAGGCCGAGGCAGGCAGATCATGAGGTCAGGAGATCGAGACCATCCTGGCTAACATAGTGAAATCCCGCCTCTACTAAAAAAAAAAAATACAAAAAAATTAGCCGGGCGTAGTGGCGGTCACCTGTAGTCCGCCACTTGGGAGGCTGAGCCAGGAGAATGGTGTGAACCTGGGAGGCGGAGCTTGCAGTGAGTCGAGATCGCGCCACTGCACTCCAGCCTGGGGCAACAGAGCGAGACTCTATCTCAAAAAAAAAAAAAAAAAATTATAGTCATCCTAGTAGACATGAAGTGGTATCTTGTGGTTCATAGTAGACTTTTTATAAATATTTTCCAGTGAAGTGAAAAAATAAAACAAAATAAAATATAAATAAATATAAATGAACGGGTCATTTTCAATTTGAATTGACCACTTACCTATCCATAAATGTCTACTTATCATTTACTTTCAACATAGACTAGTGCCAATAAGTCCTGGCCAATATGCCCAGGGCCTAATGAAATCAAGAACTGGAGTGCCTACATTTATGCAAATCTGAAGTTAAAATTCCGGAAGCCACTATGAATTGAACTATTGCTGCAAACTGGGGGGAAAAATTGTTTCTCCAATGCATATTCAGAGAGGTTAAGAGTAATTGAGAGCAAGTGGGACATCATTCTTAGAGAAGTTGAGTTATTTAATAAAAGGTCTTGATATGGAGCCAGAAATGAGATGCTCTGGGACTGAGGAAAGCTGCCAAGCAGGTAAGTCCGGCTCCTTGGGAGGGGTTCAGACCCTTGAGGACTGAGGATGAGATTCTATTCTCTCATTCTCTATCACACTGACTCATCCACTACACTCCATAAACAGTGTGTGTTTAAAAATGGGTTTTACACGTTATTGTAATAGAAATGTTATATGCCTGGAGGTGTATTACTATCTTCTATGACAAAACCTTGCACTTTTTTCTGAGTCCCTGGGAACACTAAAATACAAGCGCAGACCTAGATTCCCAGAATAACTTTTTTTTTCCACGAGTAACAAATTTATTTTCCAAATAATGTTTTCCTCCTAAAGAACTGTTAATTTTGGATTCGACAGGAGATAATTCAACCAGTGACTTGGCACGCCATTTTAGCAGTTTCATTGCTATTCGGAGTCAGACTGCGATGAATTTACACAGTCAAAAGAATATAATTTTGATTTTTTTAAGTAGAAGAAGACTAAGTTACCAGTTGTGTGTGAATATGTTGTGTGTGGGTCTGTGTTTAAGAGGAAAGAGGGAGACAGAGTAAGTGAGAGTACAACGTGGGATTTTCAGCATGGAGCAGGGCGAGGAGAAGAAGCAGGCGTGGGAGTTTGGGATGAATGGATCAATGAATGAAATGCCTTGGTCCATGAACACAGGGGTTATATTCTTACCTCTGTCACTAGAATTCATCTGTTAGAATGTGTGTCATTTACCCCAGTAGTTCTTCACCCAAAAATCTGTTACGAACAGCAAACTTTGCCCTAGTGTACTCTACCCCATTGACAGCTGATTGCCTTGGATATGGGGTGTGTGATAATCCTTCAAGTGGGCAGCTACTCCCAGGAAAGGTGGATTTCATGTGATGTAAATGACCATCTCCTCCAAAGATACTGATTTTCAAGACCCATTCAATACATACACGTTTATTTTTCCTGTCTTAAAACTAAATTATTAACACAAAGGGAATGTGTGTTTAGTCTGCCATTTTGTTAACAAAACAAACAGTAAATTTGGAAATCTAATCTTTTGAAATAAAACTGTTAAAATGGCTCATAAAAACAAATGAGTAATGAAAAGAGTATGAACATTCTAACTCAGATAAGAACATATCATATAATCAGTAGAAGAAAAACAGTAAGTGTCATACTTAATTTTTGCTGCTAAAAATGTTCTTTAGGAAGGAATTGGAGAAAAACGTCATGAATAATCAATACTTATTTGTGACACTAATGTGCTAAGCATGTTTTATAAAATGGTAATCAAAGACAGCCCTGTACTCCTTAACACATTTTACACTGTATTTTCCTCTTTTCACACTTCATTTTTACTCTAGTAGGATTTATACTTAAAAAAAATTATACAAGTTTTCTTTGAGTGGAAAACATTGTCATTTCTAAGTAAAAGCTAAATCATGGTGTAGTATATGTTCATGTTTAAATTATAGAGGCCTCTAAGCACCATAAATTGTGTCCTATAGTCTCATATTTGTTCATTTTTACAAAGCAGTGAATATTTGGAACCTGTTTTTGTAAGGTTTCTGTTGGATACGATGATGATGATGATTGTGGTTTTGTGTCATTGTTTTGTTTTATTTTATTCTATTCACTTACTTTGGAAGCGAGTTCTCCTGGCTCTTTCTTTTCTAAAAATCCTGGAACCTTTTTAATTTCAGGAAGTTCAAAACTCCATATATACTGTAATATCAACAATAGGTTTCCATAAACCACCATGAAGGGAGAGCTGATCATGGCATATTTTCTTCTGTTGCGAATCATCCAAAGAGTGCACGACCAGATCAGCAGCACGAAGGTCAGCCAGCTGTGATAGGTGATGCTCCAGGCCTCCGGAGGACAGAAAAGGAAACACGACCATGGTTAGTACAGTGCTCGGTCCCCCCACCCTGGTAAGGTAAAAACTCTAAAAAGTTCAAATATTCTATAATATTCAAACCAGGGAGAGTAGAGAGTTGTGGTGGAGTGACGGAGACCCCAAGCCATGGAGTGGTGGCTTGGAAGACGGGAGGTTTCAAAGCTTTAATATTGTAGCTCCATTAACACAGCAGAATGGTACCAGACATGGGCACATTTTTAATGAAGGATTGTGTTGTTTTCACAATAGATTTTTTTCAGTTAATTAACAAAACGTGTAAGCAAATATTTTATTTTACTTTATTTAGCTCTATTGCTTTAAAGAAAAGACCAAACTTATCTGGCTTAGAGAGAAAAAAAAAATAGGGTACACTTTTGTGAGTTCAGAATGAGAGATCTGCTGCAGTTTAAAGTAACAGTTGATGTACAGAAAATGTCAAAAAGTAACCAAAGAGCACAGAACTAATTTTATTTGAAGAATAGAGTTGGCAATCCCCAAATTAGCCTCTTCAATTTTGTGGTGCTTTCTTTTTCCCAGCCTCCTCTCGCATGTGGCTGTGTTCCTTACTGGAAACCGAAGTTGAGCACACACAGGTTCATCTGAGAAGCACCTGGACTGAGTGCCTGGGAAACTGTGCCTAGGTTCTATGTCCCCTGAGTTAAAGAATATTTTTATTTTTATCATCAAAGGTGTCCATAGGATCTCACTGTTGACCACAGAATTTAGAAGAGTCGTATTTTAAACAAGAATGTTAGGTTTCTCAAAAATAAATCAAATTTCCTGAGAAAATTTGTTTTTGGGAAAGGGAGAGATTATAGCTTCTTTTATTTTCTATCTATGGGCCAAGGGACTATTTTGAAGCTGTGATGTTGCAGATGGTGAGTAGAAACACGTATAAACTGAGAGCTCACAATTGGAAGGTGCTCTAGGGAACCACGCACGGTTGCTTGATGCTCATATTGGTAAAACATTATTGCAGCTGGCTGGGCGTGAAGGCTTACGCCTGTAATCCCAGCACTTTGGGAGGCCGAGGCGGGTGGATCACGAGGTCAGGAGATCGAGACCATCCTGGCTAACACGGTGAAACCCCGTCTTTACTAAAAAAAAAAAAAAAAATTAGCTGGGCGTGGTGGCAGGTGCCTGTAGTCCCAGCTACTCGGGAGGCTGAGGCAGGAGAATGGTGTGAACCCCGGAGGTGGAGCTTGCAGTGAGCCAAGATCGTGCCACTGCACTCCAGCCAGTGCGACAGAGCAAGACTCCATCTCAAAAAAAAAAAAAAGTTATGGTAGCTAAGATGGAATAACGTCTCACCCAAATCTAAGATAAGATGTGAATATAATTCTCACTATCTGAAAGGAATAAAAGCAGCCTATGTTAACCTCAAAGACCTTCAATGTCATTTAGAAAAACCAGTATGTCCTCTCAAATTGGCAAAATAAGAGAGAGTCTGACTTGACAAGCTAATTTGAAAGAAATGTATTAATACTTAAAAGAGGATAAATAGAGGTGAAAAGGACACAATTTTACAATCTGTAGTATAAATATACCATGAAAAATTAACACAGCTGACCATTCTCTGCCAAGGCATCAGGGGGATTCCTATACTTCTGCTGGCCCTGAGAGGATAGCAGCACTTAGAGCCAGCGGGGCTGTGGTCTCCTTTCTCCAGCAGTCTGGCAGCCTCCACTCATATATACCATCATATCATACATACCATCATATCATACATATCAGATATTGTACACACCATCATATCATACATACCATCATATCATACATATCATATCATATTGCAGATAGTATCATATCATACATGCCATCATATCATATTATACATATCATCATTATCATACATACCATCAGATATTGTACACACCATATCACACATACCATCATATCATATTGCACATAGCATCATATCATACATACCATCATATCATATTATACATATCATCATTATCATACATACCATCAGATATTGTACACACCATATCACACATACCATCATATATTGCACATAGCATCATATCATACCTTCCTCATATCATATCATACATACCATCATATCATACATACCATCATATCACATTACACATAGCATCATATCATACATATCATCATATATCATATATACCATCATATCATACATACCATCATATACATACCATCAGATATTATATACACCATCATATCATACATACCATCATATCATATTGCACAAAGCATCATATCATACATACCATCATATCATACATACCATATCATACATACCATCAGATATTGTACACACCATCATATACACACCATATCATATCTTACATACCATCATATATGTACTATCATACCATCATATCTTATATACCATTATGTGTACCATCATATTATACATACCATCATAGCATACATACCATCACATCATATCATACATACCACCATATCATACATACCATCAGATATTGTACACACCATATCATATCTTACATACCATCATATATGTACTACCATATCATACCATCATATCTTATATACCATGTGTGTACCATCATATTATACATACCATCATATCATATCATACATACCATCATATATCATACTTACCATCATATCATACATAGCACCATATCATATTATACATACCATCATATCATATCATACATACTATCATATCATACATACCATCATAGCTATGAGGGCACAGATGTAACTTTGTTTCATAATAAATTGGAATACGGAGACCATGGCATGAACTTTGATACTTCTTTTTTCCTCATGGCTCCTTTCTTCTTCAAATTCTTCTTTCTCTTCCTCTTCCTCCTCTCGCTTTTCTAGATGGACAAATACTTTATTTAACTATTTATGCAAACATGTGATGTTTGTATAAATGTTCCAAGCAATGCAGCACATGTATGGTTTTGGTATAGCCTTGTGTTTAAGACTTCAGAAATTGTTTCCCATTCATAAAGCCCTTAGAATTCAAACAGAATCAATAAGTTCTGCCTGGTCAGTGTAATGGGATCCAGCATATAGTAATTGAGAGAGGAAAACTTCCATGTAAGAAGGTATGGAAGGAAGCCTCTAAGCCAGTCATCAGAGCCCCCACCTCCTGGTGTTCATGCTGTTGAGTTACCCCTCCCCTCGAGTGTGGGTGGGACCTGTGACAGGCTTCTAACACAAATAGGGCACTTTAGAGGGGATCAAGGGTCACTTTCAAGATTCTGTTTAAAAAGACTTTGGTTTTCACTTTGTGTGCTCTCTTATTCTCTCACCTGCTTGTCCTCAGACAAGCCAGCTACCATGCTGTGAACTGCCCTATGGGGAGCCCCAGGTGTGAGAACTGATGGCTCTGCTAGCCAGACGTCAGCAAGAGCCTGAGGCCAGCCAATAGCTACACAGTGAGCCTGGGAACAGATTCTCCCCCAGACAAGCCTTCAGATGAGACAGCAGCTCCAGCCAGCAGCTTGACTGCATTGCAACCTCATGAGCAACCTTGAGCCAGAGGAACGAGCCTAGTGATGCCCAGGTTCCTGGTCCAGAGAAAGTGTGCCATACTCAGTGCTGTTCTAAGCCACTAAGTAGAATGTCCTTTCTGTCTTTCTTGTTCAAATCAAATGGGCTACGTATAGGTGGGTTACATGAGAAAGTGTCTTAGCAGCATAAAAAGGAGGTATAAATGACTGAAAAATCAGTGACTGTGCACACTACTCCACATGGGCTCCTCAATGAGACGATGGTGTATCCTTGGCAGAAGCCCACTGGCTCTCATTCCTCCTGCAGTAGGACTGGATGAGCCTGCAGTTTATACGAAAAAGTCCCTGGGGGCATAGACAGGGGTGAAAACACCAAATCTGATGGATTTTAGAGTTACCGCCATGCTACTTTTCTGGTTGTGACACTTTTTGTGTCTATAGATTCAATTTTGAAAACGTTTCCAGCTTTTGTTTCACTTCTGAAAGCCCCGTTTATGATTTCAGTATGACTGGGTTGTCCTTGTCAGCAGTCAAAATCCTATTTATTTGTCCTCATGAAAGTAATGGGCAAATAGAAGGGTGTCTAGGCTGTGACCCCAACAGCTCAAATGGCAGAAGCCACAGATGCTGATTCTTGGGCCCTATGTGTTTGCTTCTGGTGCCCAGGCTCCGAAGAGCACACTGGAAAGCAGCATGTTTCCTTAAACTTTCCAGTTTAAGCCTGAGCTGCAAACTAAAACACATGCACGCAGGAAGCAGAAACCGGGAGTAGAGTTGATGCTATGCAGCACTCAGGTGTCATCATGGGATGGGTGTGAGGGTGGGGTGGGGGTGGTGGCTGACCTTGATTTAACCTTACTGAGGAATGTCGGATAATATGACTAACCAGTTGTACAGTTAAGTATTAAGAAGCCCTGTGGGGCAACTCCAGGAAGTACTGATACAGATTTATGAAGAACAGACATCAGAATAAACTTGATAAAGAGTTATGCAAAAAGGCCCTTGGAGTAAGCGTGATGTACCACAGACGCAAATTGGAGAGCTGCTGGCCACTCACTAAAGGCAGGACAAGGTCTAAGAACTCTGGCTGTAATTACATACAAATACAGATGCCAATCCAATAGTTTTACAGTCACTTTGTAATTCTGTCTTTATGGACTGATGACGGGCAATTGGTCCCTGGCAGGGGCAATGACAATAGAGGTCTAGTTAACTGCTGTTTTCTAGAGGCAAGGGACTAGTATTGCCAGACCTTCACATTCTTCAAGGGATTCCAGAAATGTCCATTTCTAGGTCAGAGGTGCAGCTTTTTAAATGATGGCTATTTAAAATTTTTTAAATGCTGTGCAGACCAAAAATCAAATCTGAGAGTGAAACTCAGCCCCAGGCCACCAATTTGTCATCTTTAATAATAGTGCTCTCCTTCAACATAAACAACTGAAAGAAAAGGGAAGAAAAAAGCCTTGCAAAAGTTTCGACAACCTCGTTTTTTTTTTAAATGGACAAAGAAAAGAACTCCTAAAAAACACTTGGGCGGGTGCGGTGGCCCACACCTGTAATCCCAGGAGTTTGGGAGGCCAAGGCAGGCGGATTGCCTGAGCTCAGGAGTTTGAGACCAGCCTGGGCAACATGGTGAAATCCTGTCTCTACTAAAATACAAAAAATTAGCCAGGCATGGTGGTGTCCACCTGTAGTCCCAGCTACTCAGGAGGCTGAGGCAGGAGAATTTCTTGAACCTGGGAGGTGAAGGTTGTAGTGAGCTGAGATCGTACCATTGCACTCCAGCCTGGGAGACAGAGTGAGACTCTGTCTCAAAAATAAAATAAAATAAAATAAATTAAAAAACCCAAAGAAACAAACAAAAATTCATACACTAACCAGGAAAACCACTGACTATAATTACAATATCAACTAAAAGAAAGACCAACATACATATAGATGCTATACCTAAGTTGACATGTTTAAAATATTGTTTTCACCTTTTATTTTAAAAGTTTGCCGCAATTATGTCACTTACTCTGTATACAAGGATAGAACACAACTAGCAATATGCTGGGGCAGAATGCAGGCAGAACTTAAAGAAGTGAGCTTAATGATACTGACATGGATACCGTTTTAAAAATCATCATCAAACAAGCAACAACAACAAAAAGACAGAGCGAGGCCAAGCTTCTAAATGAGGGAGAAGTGTGACCCTGAGTACAGTACGTGCCCGCAGGCTGGATCCTACCTGAGGATTCATCAGAGGGCTCCCACCGGTACTGCGGGGTGGAGTAGAGGTCGGCTTTGCCGGGGCCGTTCTCCATGGGCAGGCTGGGGTGGATGGTGTGGTAATCCACGGGGTTGCCGTTCACAGTCACCAGCAGGCCCTGCCGGGAGTGCAGAGAAAGGGACACCTGTCACAGCAGCCCTGGGTTTTCAATGTAGACAAATCCCCACTTCCCTTCCTCCACCGTAACCAAACAGTGAGGAGTTGACTACAAGGTGAATAACTTAGCCAACTGTCCAAATATTTCAGTAAGGGGAATCTTGTACATTCCCTCTCCAACTCTAGTCTCCGCAGCGTGATCGCAGGATAATGTGCATCTGATCTTGTTCCACTTTGCCAAAAACCATGCTACGCTCCTGCTGTCTTCAGTATGAAGAGCAAACTCTTGTAAATGGCTGAAGGAGGACTTCAAGATTTGGTCTGATCTTTCCAGCCTCAGCCTTTGTTACTGTCAACCTCTCAGCCATTCTTCTAGCTATATGGGACTCTAGGCCTTTCCTGGGCTGTGGTCCAGCCCTGTCCTGCCCTATGCTCTATGTGGTTCTGCACAGGACTAATGCAGACATCCCTTGGATCTCAGCTGAGGCATCACCCTCTGGGGATCTCTGCCTGCCTTCAGGTTGCCATGTCCTTACTACACCACAAAGTACAATTGCCTGTTTCCTCCTTCTGTCTCTGTGGCTTTACACTTTTTGAGATAAGCATAACACCCACCTATACATATATGTATGTGCACCCATGGGCATGCAAAACTTCGTATTTATGTAACAGGCATAGCTACAGAACAAAATGCTTTTTAAAAAGCCCACAAAGCTTCTTAAAATTTAAATATGTTTTGTATGATTATTTTAACAATCTCATTTTAACAGCAGTCTACCAGATATAATTTATGCCAAAAAATGGAAAAGCTTATGGAAATTTTAATAGATCATTAAAATAGACTCAAAGGAGCTGCTTCCATTTCTGTTGCCTTTACATCACTTACACATGCATACATGAGAACTCTAAGGGTATACTAACATCAGAAGGTTTGTAGTCATCCTGGGTCATGGATAAAAGCTGCAAAAAGCAATGCGGGAAAGCATGTTAGCAAGGAAACCGAAAGCATTTTACTGTTTATGTATCTATAAAGTTTTACTATGCACAAACCCATTCTTTTGAACTTGCTGAATGCTACTATATTAAAATTGCCATGCAAAATATAAAGGGACAAATAAATAAGCTGGATGCTGCTGTTCATGACAACTATGTCATATCTCCTGATGTTAATGTTTAGTTATACAGCAGATAAGCAACCACGTGTCTATAAATGTTACCATGTTTTTCAAGGGTTCTGTTCTACGAGAATAAGCTGCTTAGTTTTATATCCCTTTGAGACATCTGCAGAATTCTGAGTGTATTTACGTTTCAATAAATAGAATTTTCATAATAAAGAAAAATTGATTTGTAATGTGGTTTGAGATTATTTTAAGATTTGCGTACTGTATACAACAAAATGATTATTATATGACTCTACTTTTTAACTATTAATACATTACTACCAGGTGATTTGGGCTTTCCCCAAATAATAATTAGCACAGCAAGTGGTTCTACCACAATTTTAGGTCAGGACTCATTTGTGTTCTTAAAAATCACTGAGGGTCCCAAAGAGACTTAATTTGTGTGGGTTCTATCTATTAATATCTACTATACTAGAAATTAGAACACATATTCTTAAAATATTTATTTACTTATGTATTTATTCCTTAAAAAATTTAAAAACCCATTATGTGTTAATATAAATAAATTATTTAAATAGCTATATTTTTTAAAACAAATAGTGAAGAAAGTGTCATTGTTTTATAATTTTGCATATCTATTTAATGTCTAGCTTAATAAAAGACAACCAGATTTTCACATCTGTTTCTGCATTCAATCTGTTGTGATGTGGTGTTCCAATTGAAGTAGATAAAGAAAATCTGGCTTCACATAGGTATGCAGTTCGGCCAAAAAAAAAAAGTATTTTAGGGCCGGGCGCAGTGGCTTATGCCTGTAATCCTAGCACTTTGGGAGGCCGAGGCAGGTGGATTGTCTGAGCTCAGGAGTTCGAGACCAGCCAGGGCAATATGGCAAAACCACGTCTACTAAAAATTCAAAAAAATTAGCCAGGCGTGGTGGCACGTGCCTGTAGTCCCAGCTACTTGGGAGGCTGATTCAGGAGAATCACTTGAACCCAGGAGGCAGAGGTTGCAGTTAACCCAGATCACGCGATTGCGCTCCAGCCTGGGCGACAGAGCGAGACTCTGTTGCCAAAAAAAAAAAAAAAAAAAGTAAATAGTCTATCTAAATAACTGTGGACAGTCTCCGCTACTAGATCAGACTCAACCAGTGCAGTGTCTTGAATGTCTGTCGTAGTGCAGAATCTGAAACCATATCCATGAAGTTTTCACACTCTGCTACATTAAAACCCATTGGCATACCATGCACCCCGACTGGATCATTTACCCACGCGCTGTCATGTCGGGGGGCGGTGATTCGGAGACTGCTGTTTCAGTGAGTTACAGGTATTGACTCTACCAAATACTGACACGTTTCAGTATGCCATGCGTAAAAAGCACATTTGTCACTATCACCCCGATCTCATCAGAAAGATCCTCAGATACTGGAAAGTTTTTAAGCCCTCAGTAGATACGAGTTTTCCAAAATTCTAATTTTCACTCAAATGCTTAAATGTTATCACGGTAACAATTACTGTCAGTTGTTTGCCTCAAACTGATGAGCTCACTTATTTTCAAGTAATTGTCTGCCAAATACCCAAATGAAAGAGAATAGCCCTGTTAGTCCAGGAGCTGTTCTTTCAGCTAAAAGGTTGCTGTGGAAACAGTGAGTTTAGCTCACAATGCTTGCAGGGGATTTGCGCTTCTTCTCGGGACAACTGTCACACTTCGTATGAGGCACATTAGGCAGACTTCTCATTTTGTCACACAGAATATTAAAAAGACAAGCACGCCAAGGTGGAGATTTAAGAAAATTAATAGCTCTTCCTGGTTCCTCAAGATTTTCTTAAGTGAGACCAGCCTTTTTCTTTTGTTTTCGTCCAGAGCGTGGCAGCGAAGGACTCTATCTACAATCACCGCTCTGCGCTTTGGTGCCCTGGCCTTGGGTTCACGCTCAGGCGCCTGTAGTTTTACCCACCATTGCTTTGATATCATCAAAGCAAAGGTCTTAAGTATTAGCACAGAAATAGGTTTGAGCCTAAGAATCCCTGCAAAGGTCTCGGGACCCCGACAGGTCCACAGGCCTCACTTTAAATACAGCTGGGCCTTCTTGATCATTTAGTGAAATGCGTAAGATAACCTGAAACCTGGTGAGGTGCAATAGAGGAAACGACCGGGAAATCCCCAGATGCCATAGGCGGCCACCTCTGCCCCACAGTGCTGTCCCCCCTAAGGTAGCTCACTCACTACTGTCCCCTCGCTCAACACAGGGTAGCCGCACTGAGAGCAGGAGTGTGGGTCTTAGAGAAACTCACTGCCACAAAAACAGAGAACCCACTCCTCAATTGGAGAACATGCTGGAAAGCAAAACGCTGACTCCATCCAAAAATTCTAAGAGCATTTGTGTTTACAACATTGCCAACAGGCCATTTTTACAAGTCAATATAGTACTTAGCTGAGTTCAGTTCAAAATAGCCAATCAATGATCAAAAGGTCATACGAATTACATATTCTACATTATGCGTACTATACGAGTTATCTGAATTATCCATTTGTGACCCACTGTTCCTTGTCAATACACTCAGTTACCTCAAAGAAGTGAGAGGTCCTCAACCACATTCCTGTTTGGGTATTTTCTAAGTGGTGACTGAGTACCACTGTGGCCAGCTTCTTAAGTGAGACCAGCCTTTTTCTTTTGTTTTCCGCCAGAGTGTGGCAGCGAAGGACTCTATCTACAATCACCGCTCTGCACTTTGGTGCCCTGGCCTTGGTTCTTGCTCAGGCGCCTGTAGTTTTACCCACCACTGCTTTGATATCATCATACTCTGCTCCATTAAAACTCATTGGCATACCATGCACCCCAACTGGATCAATTACCCACACACTGTCATGTCGGGTGGCGGTGATTCGGAAACTGCTGTTTCAGTGAGTTACAGGTATTGACTCTACCAAATACTGACACGTTTCAGTATGCCATGCACAAAAAGGACATTTGTCACTATCACCCCGATCTCATCAGAAAAGTCCTCAAATACTGGGAAGTGTTTAAGCCCTCAGTAGATACGAGTTTTCCAGTCTTCCAAAATTCTAACCTTTACTCACATGCTTAAATGTTATCACTGGTAACAATTACTGTCAGTTGTTTGCCTCAAAGTGATGAGCTCACTTCATTTATTTTCAAGCAATTGTCTGCTAAATACCCAAATCAACCAAATACTCGACAGAGAAAAATTATTTTCTGCGATCTAGTTCAGCACTGAAATTCTCACCCTCCAGTGCTAACGCACTGCTTTGCTACATTTGTTTGTTTTAATTACACAATTTTTTTTTTTAAATAGGAACATTCTTTTTAAGATTCGGAGATTTCAGTAGAAAGCACGGAAACATAAAATGACGTTCTTGACAGGACCTGGGTATTTTCTTTAGAAACAGTTTTCCCCTCTGGTACTAACCCTCCTAAATCACTGTGTCTATAAACCACATGCAACCCGAGTATCATATGATATGTATGATATTATAAGGCTCATTTTCAACAGTAAAATACAAAAATAGAAAAATTAGGGAACGGAAATCCCTTTCATCGTGGCTTACTTTTCTCTCATCGGTGGGGTAATGGGTTGCGTACCACAGGCTCCGCCTCCTCTCCGCCGTTATTTGGATGGGGCTACAAGCCAGGGCTTTGTCCTCTTCTTTTGTCCTCTCCTCCTGCACCTGAAACACAGAAACAGGATCAGTCTGGCTTCCTGAGGCAGTTCCCTAGGCAGCCTGGGTGGCCAAGAGAGGGCTTTTCATTTTGGCTCTATATGATGATTTTTCAAAGTGAATGTTTACAATATACAGGATTTTATCAAGACACTTTAAAAAAGGACAAAAATGCTCCCCTGCAATTGATAAGCACATCAATATTAAATGTCCCCTGTTCCTACTAAGCCCCCTGCATTACAGAATATGCTCCATGGTTACATATCCGCAGCTTTTCCAAGTGCATTCTCAACTGCACTCAAAAGCAGCTATGCACATGGTTCTTAGCGTAAGAACCTTCACAAAGGTGAGCAGTGAACCGTGTAAGCCAGCTGCTGGCAGTCTTCAATTCAGACTGGATGTACTGGAGGCAGAATCATCTAGAGCGCACACGGCACTAAGCCAGAGCATTTCTAAGCACGAGATATTTGCCTAAATTAAACAACTGGTCTAGGAGAGGTGATAGAGAGGAATACAAGGAACAGAAGCGCTTTGGTGCCTTAGCATGTTTTCCCAACAAAAGTGTCCTAGTAAAAAGGGCAGTCATGAGTCACTGATACTGGAGTGCAGTGAACTTAGTCTCACTGCCCGATTCCTGGGTCCCGGCGCACCAGAGTAGAACTCCTAAGTGGGGCACCCTAACTCCCTGGGTGGGGCGTTACGTTTGCCAGGTGGGGGCCATATAATACACTGAAGTCTCGACACGCTTTTCTCTCTCTCTTTTTCAAACATGTTTCACAGATGTCTACTTCAGCACTCACATTTGGTGGCTGGCATTTTTCATTAAACGCAGTAGGTCATCTGGAACTATGATATAATCAGCTTCTTTTCCTCATTGCCTCAGTGCAACGGGACTTCGGTCCCAGCCCATTTAAAATACAACCCACATGAAATGTTGATGACAGTTTTAAGCCCCTTTCTCCACAAACCCCTGCAGACCTTGTGATTTGTAACATTGCTATTGCTGTGTGGCCTGTAGCCTAAATGGTCTTCCCAGCTCTCTCTCTGCCTACCTTTGCTTGCCAGACAGCACAGGGGAGTAGAAACAGAATATCGCACTGGCCCAAAGTTATAACGGAGCCCTCATCAAGCTACTGCATTATCTGAGAGATGACATGGGATATGCCAGAGAAAGCAAATGGGCTGGGAAATCGTAATAACTCGAAAGCCTTAAAGTAATCTCCGTAATGTGTAAGACATTGTTCAGAAATAGTTCCCATTGCGGTGGCTCACGCCTGTAATCCCAGCACTTTGGGAAGCCAAGGCGAGTTATTTACCTGAGCTCAGGAGTTTGAGAGCAGCCTGGCCAACACAGTGAAACCCCTTCCTACTAAAAATACAAAAAAATTAGCCAGGTGTGGTGTTGGGCACCTGTAATCCCAGCTACTCAGGAGGCTGAGGCAGGAGAATTGCTTGAACCCAGGAGGGAGAGGTTGCAGTGAGCCGAGATCACGCCATTGCACCCCAGCTTGGGCAACAAGAGTGAAACTCCATCTCAAAAAAAATATATATATCTTTAATTTTTTATGTACATGTTTTTATTTGTGAATATACACATATACATATGCATGCTTGTGGAGGAATTGGACACGATTTTAATGATTCTACTGGTACAGTCAAATTTTAGAAGAGAATTGAAGAAAAATATAACAGAACATGACTGGGATTCCTTACCACCCATAAATCATTTTGTTACTATACAACTGTCATTGGTGGCCTAAAAGAAAGATGATCCACGAGAACCCTGCTAACAAGGATGGCCTCTGAGACCTGAATCCCACAGATGGATGTTAGCCCCTGAGATGGGGAGGAGGTACCACAGAGGAGGAAGACAGCACCATCCTCATTTCTGCAGGTGGCGCTTCTGTCAGGGACGACCGGAGGCATGTGCCTCCCGCAGTTTTAGTCCCTATCTGATTCACATCCTGTGTGCTTCTCTTGGACCGATTTTTCTCTTTTAGAATGCACAGTTCTCTAAGTGGGGTCCTGCCTACTGAGGCCATTGCTCTGTGCCGGCCCCTAGGTCAGTGTTAGACCCAGGTGGCCTTCCATAAACACTCATAGACTGGCTTGACTGATGAACGTGTGGAAATAGTCTGCGGGTATAAAGACAGAACAGAGAAAGTGGGGAGCTTCTGCAGGGCCCCAGGCTAGGAGCGATTCGGAGGAGGCGGGACTGGAATGCAGAGACTCAGGCTGGGCCATGCTCATGAGAACGGTCCCCAGCTGTGGGGTTCCCCGCAGGTGGGGCGTGAAAAGGTGCGGCGACCCTGTCTACACAGCTTGTCTCCTTCATGTGTCAATAAGCCACCTTGCAACTGGGCTCCTGACAGTCATTTAGGGTAAAGAAAATCAGGCTGATGTTTTCTGTCACTGAAGGAGAAAAGAGAGAAGAGAAGCCACCCAGGCTTCAGTCCTCCCCTCAGAAATGCTGTGTCCTTGTTCATATTTTCATAGGGAATAAACACCCGCAGTTGTGCTGGAAGGAATATCCAAATCCCCATCCCTCACAAGGGGATACTCAGGAGGCAACAGGCACCACCGAGAGCTGAACTGTCACTCCCACATCTTCACAGGCTAAGAGGGCTGGAGGAGATACAGGAAACACCAGCCGCCTTGATAACAGGGGTGTGTGCCTCTAAGGACCGAGCTTTGTTGTCAGATGTGGATTAGAATCTGATTTGTACCACCCAGTAAATGTGTGATTTTAGAAAAATTGACATCTCTAACCTCATTTTCCTCATGTGTAAATGGGTATAATACCTAGTCTATTGATCGGAGTTATTTGGTTTATTAAATGAGATAATGTATGACAACAACACGGCATATTACACTAAAGTGATCAGCAAAAATGAGTCTTCCATTCCTCTCACCACCTGCCATTCTTACCAGCACATTGTGCGTTGTGGTATTAGTAAAGGGAAGCTAGTATTTGGTCTGGTAATATTTATATTCACTTAATACTCTTTGCAGAATTAAAACATCATACCCAGAACACGAGAGTTGTGTTGGAATAGAGTATTGATTAGTCAGTAGAGAACAGGAGTGAATCATTTCACCTGGAGATTCTAGGTTACTTTGCAGACAAGATCATGAAAACGTTTTTGTCCTTACAAGGGGCTCTTGCAGCCAGATGCGGATCAGAGTGGCCAGAGTGTAGTACATCACCAGCAGGAGGATAGGGTTGGCGTGGTGGTACCATGACAGGTCCGGGTTTACTATGATCTTCCAAGTACTGGAACAGTCCGTTTGAATTACTGACTTGATACCAAACAACCTGTTAAAAAACAAAGAAAAATGCTTAAAAGATGCAATAAGCTATATGTCTCCAACGTTGAATAAAAGTACCTTGTGTTTGATACATTCGTGAGTTATTCCTAGGTTGATCCATTCTACTGTAGATATTTCAATTATCCTTCTGTATATGTAACTACATCTTCAAAGAACATATGTAGACATGTATAATATGCATATAATACATACATTCTGAAATCATATGTGTACGTATAAAATTGACATCAACATTGACCAGATGATCTTTACATCAGTTTGAAAATCCAGCTAATACTAAATTCTTGCACATCTAATAGAAATTTGTTTCAATTATAAATCAGCCCTATTAAAACCCTGCATTATAGAAATGCCAAGCATGTGGTAACATGTTACTAGTCTGGCTAAATGAGCAAATATTTTGTTTTTGGCTGGGTTCAGCATTAGCTACTCAGCTAGTGTTGACATTATTGGGCAAATATTGAAACTGGAGATACTTCTTCAGTTTAGCCATGAAAGTCAAATATTATATAGTAAAATTTCTGTAAGATATATTTCTGTCAAATATCATTTATGAGCAATATGATTTTTTCAAAGCATAGTAATTAATCATTTTCTTTGAAATATGACTTTGAGTCTGTTACATTTTGAAATGGTTTATTTTTATGCTGATTTCTACCAATCAGCATGTGTCTGATTATATAATGGAAAACCGTGTAAAATATGACTCATTTAGAAATTCATTTTGATGGGCAATTTTTCTAAGAAAATACTCTACTAAATGCATAAAACTTTACAGGTTAAGTGAGTTTCACACCTTTCTACTGTTTGCATCTTTTATTTATTTTTTGTGTTTGAAATGGGGTCTCGCTCTGTCACCCAGGCTGATCACAGCTCACTGCAGCCTTGACTGCCTGGGCCTCCCAAGTCGCTAGGAACACAAGGGCATGCCACCATACCCAACTATTTTTTTTAATTACTTGTAGAGACAAAGTCTCATTATATTGTCTAGGCTGGTCTTGAACTCCTGAGCTCAAGCCATCCTCCCACCTTAGCCTCCAAAACTGCGGGGATTATAGGTGTGAACAATTGCACCCAGACTGTTTGCAACTTTTATATGTGAATTTTCTTTAATTTTTAATCTTACATTCTTCAGTTATAGGATCTTCAAAGGCTGCATGCCCTTCACTTGTAAAATCTCTCAGGGTGAATGCTGTTTTCTATCACAATGCGAGTGCAATATTAGTGTATTGATGAACACAGATTTTAAAGTAGGCTAAATAGAAATTAAACTAACTTTCTTCAGTTTTATCAGAAATAAATAAGTTATACCATAACTTGTTCTTATTATAAAATATTTTTTTCTTAAGTTCCAGATTTTTTTTTGGAGTTAGCGTTTGAAATAACAATTTCCCGAGTGAAAAAAGTTATGTCCCACTTAGAATGGTAGAACTTTCTGAAAATCTTTTTTGCAGCCCTAGATTAAAATGTAAATTTCTTGTATAAAGTACACAGAAAAAGCCCTTTGATATAAAATCAGACAAGCTAGACAAGCTGGGTTAATCTAAGTGGCAGCTCTTCCAGCTACTGAGTCCTTCTTGTTCCGCGCCTGGCACATATGCTAGAACTAACCTCATCAACTCTCAGTTTAAAATACTTGTTTTGTCCCATACAGAATTTTAATTGTAATTTTCTGTAGCTGTTGGTAAAGTGAACTAAATGCTTCATACCACACAGACATTACATACCTTACCACTGATATCATAACTGATTCCAAACTGATTTTGCACATTCCTACACTAACACTGAAGAGTCAGACTTAGATTTTGTACTAGCAACGTACAGACTTAAAAAAAATGAGCAGAAGCTAACCAGTGGCAGATTGTTGTCTCCTATAAGAACGGTTTTTTAATCGAGCTATGCGAATACTATAAAATCTAAGATTTCTTTCTCTGTCTCCTTTTTTGTTTTGTTTGGTTTTTTGTTTTTTTTTTTCAGACAGAGTCTTGCTCTGTTGCCAGGCTGGAGTGCAGTGGCACGATCTCAGTTCACTGCAACCTCCACCTCCTGGGTTCAAGCGATTCTCCTGCCTTAGCCTCCTGAGTAGCTCAAACTATAGGTACACGCCACCATGCCCAGCTGACTTTTGTATTTGTGGTACAGACAGGATTTAATTGAGGCTATATGTACCAGGTGAGCTTTATCCACTCCTTGGCAATGAAGATCCAAGAAACAGGACAGGCAGAGCTTCATAAACTCTCTGATACCTCTTAGGAGAACTCCAGCCCCCAACTCCAAGTACGATCCCATAATATGTGCATGTCACTGTATTCCTTGCAGATACCTCAATCATTCCAAAATATTGCAGGGGTCACACAGGATACCAGCTGTTCAGTTGACCAGGATGGTCATGATCTCTTGACTTTGTGATCCGCCTGCCTCGGCCTCCCAAAGTGCTGGGATTACAGGTGTGAGCCACTATGCCTGGCATCTCTCTCTCTCTCTCTCTCTCTTTTTTTAAATTTTCTAAAGAAACTAGATACTGTTGAAAGGATTCATATGCGAGATGAGAAATTTGTACTTGCAGTTCACATCCTTTCTGGCATGCAATTCTAGGATACTACACAGCATCCAACAATTATTTAATTTACTCAACCTTTGCTTCCCAGGATTGCATCTTGATATTCACAGTACAAAGAAACTGATACCATTGCACCTGCTCTCCAGGAGCTACTCTGCCTACACTAAGGCCGGTGCTAGCTTGGGCAGAGCAAGGTGTCACAGAAACCCTCTCTTTCAGTGGGTGGTGGGGATGGGCACTCCTCCTGACTGTCTTAAATCTCTCCATAGAAATATCTCTTGGCTTGAGAAGTATACAATGACACAATTACAGAGCAGCACATCCCAATGGACTGCTTATTTGGAAATAAAAAGATAAAGATGAAGTTTTTCTCTTCCATGCATTTGGAATATCTTTTGTGTATCTTTGATCCTAGGCCTGGTTCTATTGATAACGTGTACGAATGTATTTGGTAAGCGACTCAATGTCTCGGAGCTTTCCCTTCCTAATAAAATCTAATAATGTTGATGGGTGGGGTGAGGACGCAAGTATATGAAAAAGAAAGGACAGTGTTTTAGAAGATCTTATATTAAATGCTTAAGAACTCACAGATTCTATTTCCCAAAAGATAGCTGAAGATAGGCCCCCAGGTGAGGATCAGTTCCCAGCAGAGACGCATCAGACCCTTGGGGCCCACACTCCCACTTTGGAACCTGGTCTGTCTGGGCCGCTGCTTCATGGCCAGCATTTCTGTCCATAGAAGACATCTTCACTTCTCTTCTTGGACAATTAATACGCCAAGGACAGTCTCCCTACCTCTAATTTCTCTTCCCTCCACATTATGACAGCTGCCAGAGTTTCCTTGGGAAAGTTCATGTTCTCTACGCCACCCTCCTCATACTACTCCCTATTCCCCCACTTCCTGGAGAAAAGCCCTGAGTCCCAGAAAAGCATCCCTGAGGTCTTCAGCAACCTGGTCTCCTTTTCTTTCTCTCAGACAAAAACCTTGGTTATGCTGGACTATTTGGGGTTTACCATAAAATCTCAGTCCCTTTGGTGTTGCTATTCCTCGTTTTACCAGGAGGCTTTTCAGTAGCTATGACTTCTCTGGAGTCCCCAAATCAAGAACTGGGGGTATATGTACCAGGTGAGCTTCACCCACTCCTTGGCAATGAAGATCCAAGAAATAGGACAGGCAGAGCTTCATAGATTCTCTGATACCTCTTAGGATAACTCCAGCCCCCAACTCCAAGTGCAATCCCATAATATGTGCATATTACTGTATTCCTTCCAGATACCTCAATCATTCCAAAATACTGCAGGGGTCACACAGGATACCAGCTGTTCAGGATGCATAATTACATTACGTCCATGGCCTATCATCTGAACCTTCACGCTAATTAAGTTTTGCTGTAAGCATTGGTTCTTCTTCATTCTTTCCTTCAGGCCCGATATTCCTTATAGTTAATATTAGCCAATACCCTGAAGCCATTTCCCAGCACACTTCATTCATGTTTCTTCCTATCTCTTTGTTGTTGCTGGTTGTTAACATCCTTGGCATCATCTAGGTCTAGCTCCAAAGTAACCATCTCCAGGAAATGATTACGATTTCTCCTTCTTAGAATCAATTTTCCCTATGCCTCCACAACAATATTTGTAGTCATAATTTGAATTTCTGCTATTTTTTTAGTTTACGTGCTTGTTTTGCTGCCCATTTTTATTCTAATGCCATCCGAAAAGGGTGTATGTCTTGTCATCTTGCGTTTATAGCAGTGCTTAGGGCATGGAAGGCTTTAAAGGTAAGTTTTTTAAACTGAATTAAATACAGTGAGAGTAAGTAGGTGATCACGGTTATGGTTGGAGCAGAGATTAAAAGATGGAAAAGTTCCTGCTTTTAAAAAAGAGAAAGGTAAGAAACTGCAGATACACAAGCAAATTCTGGAACTTTCAGAGAAAAATCACTGCTGCTTGAATCCCAATATCCATGATTTTAGTGCCCCAGTTTATTAACTAAGAACACAGAATAAGTGTAAGAAAGGCAACAAAAATACACTTCTATTTACCTAAAGTATATCTTAGGTCACACACAGCAGATAGTTATTTGTTCTCTACTGGCTATTAACAAGGATTTTGAACTTTACCTTCTGAAGGAAGCAATAAATAAAAGTATATGGTCCAGAGATAGCACTAGTTTGTTTGTTTGTTTTTTTTGTTTTTTTTGTTTTTTTGAGACGGAGTCTGGCTCTGTCGCCCAGGTTGGAGTGCAGTGGCCGGATCTCAGCTCACTGCAAGCTCCGCCTCCCGGGTTCACGCCATTCTCCTGCCTCAGCCTCCCGAGTAGCTGGAACTACAGGCGCGGCCACCTCGTCTGGCTAATTTTTTGTATTTTTAGTAGAGACGGGGTTTCACCATGTTAGCCAGGATGGTCTCGATCTCCTGACCTCGTG